TTTTTTTTTTTTTTTTTTTTTTTTTTTTTTTTTTTTTTTTTTTTTTTGTGTAAATCCAAAGTCAACCCAATAAACAAAACCCTAATTCCCCTTTCAATTTCATATTTTAAGCCAAACCCTTCTCCTCTTCTGTCTCTTCATTGCACTTTAGAGCCAGAGCTCCCCTGTTTCTTAATATTCAAAGAATATTCATTCTTCCTCAAATTCTCATCCCCAACTTGGCCTCTTTTGACTTTTTCCCTCTTAATCTCTATTTAAACCAAACCAATCCCAATTTCTGCCATTAACTTCATCAAATCTGAGATTCTTCTCTGAAACTTGAGAGCTTAAACCTTAAATCAACAATGGCCGCTCATGGGTTTCCTCTGACTGCTCTGTTTTTGCTCTGTTTCTTGGGGTTCTCTCATGGACATATCCATCTTTCTTCTATCCCAAGAAATTTGGAGGTCACTGCTTCTCCAAAATCTGGACAAGGTAAGAACTTTCAGCTCCCATAACTCAAATTTCTGATGCTTCCAACACAGATCTGAATAAAAAACTGTTAGTTTAGCGATTTTTAACATCTGGGTTTTTGTTTTTTTTTGCAGTTCTCAAAGCGGGTGTTGATAAAATCAGTGTGTCATGGGTTCTTAATGGAGCTGCAAAAGTTGGGTCGGATTTGGCTTACAAATCTGTGAAGGTGAAGCTCTGCTATGCGCCGGTGAGCCAAGTGGACCGTGCGTGGAGAAAAACAGAGGACGATCTTGCAAAGGACAAGACTTGTCAATTCCAAATCGTGGAGAAGCCGTACAATCCGTCGAACAAGACGGTTCAAAAGGCTGAGTGGACGGTGGAGCGTGACACTCCGACGGCGACTTTCTTCGTGCGTGCTTACGCGTTCAATTCCGCCGGCGATGAAGTGGCGTACGGACAAACGACAGACGAAAAGAAAGGCACAAATTTGTTCCAAGTTGAAGCTATCACTGGCCGCCATATCTCTCTCGATATTGCTTCTGGTTGTTTCAGTGCTTTCTCTGTGCTGTCTTTGACCGGATTCTTCATCGCCGGTAAGAGGCAGGCGAAGAAGGCGGCGGCGGCGGAGGGGCACTAAGTGGGAACTTTGCTCTGTTTTGAGGTTCCCTTTTAAAGCTTTGCATCAATGGCGATCTGCTTGGTGAAGAGTAGATTTTATGAGTTCTTTTTTTTAGTCTTTTTGTGATTTGTGTTTCTCTTGTACTATAATTTTATGATATATAATATGATATTAATGTGTCTAATGTTTGATGTGAAAAATTTAAATGAAAATATTTGAAAATTTGGACTTTGGGGTTTTCATTTATTGGGTTTGATTCAAATTCATAGCTTTTTTCATAAAAAATTTCAACCATTGATTGAGATCCTCTTTTTTTCTTTGAGTCAAGCCTTGAAGGATGCTGGAAGATAAGTTAGGTGATGGTGTTAGGTTTGTTTGGGGTGTGTTTTTTATTTTTTTTAAAAAAGTCAATTTAATGAGCTCGAGTCTTAGATATAATGCATCGCTCCTTATTACGAACGAAGTAACTCTGAAGCTGAAATATACCGAAATAAATGATTCCAATAGCCAAGCTATAGTGGGCTCTATAACTATAATAGAAATACTCGTGATCGTAATCTAGGGCATGAGACTGCAGAAACTAAGCCCTTGTTAGTATTCATCAAGCCTACTGTACTCCAGTTTGGTAGAAAAAGCTGAGCCGTTATAAGTATTCATCAAGCCTACTGTACTCTAGTTTGGTAGTTTCTACCGCCAGTTTAGAGTTGATCTCTCGAATTAGACAGCATATGTCTAGGGTTGGTCTCTCGAATTAGACAGTAAACTTAAAAAGTCACCTAGAGACACTTTACGCCTAGTCATTATGACCGGATAGTAAAAATTCCAATATTTATTGTCGAATAAATTGCAAGTTTCAAACCTTAAAAAAAAAAGTAATATATATATATATATTTTAAACTATGCATCTATTCACAAAAGGGAAATTTGCTACAATTATGAAAAAGTTCTTCATTTTCTTGTTCCACCTGATCTTTGACAGCAGGGAAAAGAATCCAACGGCTCCTCAGCCCTATCTACAAGGGAATCTATATTAAAATTTAATAGTTTTCCCTTTTGAATCGCTACATACTTATGACCATGAAATACATACACTGTAAATGTTCTATAATGTAGAAGTTGTAATGTAGCCATTCTCACAGTCACATGCGGAATCGAAAAGCATTTTCGAGCTACTCATCCGATCTGTAGCAGTAAGATATAGACCATCACTAAACACATCAATGTACCCGAACGCATCGGTGCCGGGGGGGCATTCGAGGGCAGCTTCAAGAACTCTATGGTGTATTCCATGGGAATCAATGGCATATCCACCCTTGTGATTGTGCCCAGCTAGGCAAACTTTGACACAATTGTAGCTGTGTATCAGGTCCATTACTTCGTCGTAGTTCCATAAAAGTGCTGCAAAAGATGTCGCCCCAGGATCAAGAGGCAAATGACAGCAAACAATCACGTTTTGCTTTAAATTTGTGGCTTCCTGAAGTATACTATCTAACCATTTCAACTGTTCTTTACCAACTCCTCCATTGAACATAAGGTATCTTCTATCTAAGCCAGTCAATCCTGAGGGGCTGTTCTTGTCTGCATTTGGGTTTTTTTGGGATAGAATTTTGAGAGCTTCTACTGAATTGGATGACCCTTAGGCCAACCGACAGCGCTTATATCGTAGCCATCGAGTACGACGAATCTGAAATCTGGAGTAGGCGAAAAGTCGTAATAAGCATGACCTCCCTCAAGTCTTGGAATCTTCAACAATGGAAGCAGTTCTTTACGTGGGAGATTGTAGAGGCAATGGTTTCCAATCATATGATAAACCAGACCATTAAAGTTATCAAATTCACTAACTACTTTCTTTGTAGAGTTGAGAGATTGGTCCTTGGGGCAAAATCCATCGACAATATCTCCAAAGTTCAGGACGAATTTAAGCCTTTGTTGGTTGTTCCAGTTTTGAACTGCCCTTTTCAGGACGAGAATACTATGTCGATAATAACGGGGAGTACCGAGGAATGATTGACCATCGGGAATATCAGCATACTGAACGTCGGCGATAACACCAAAAGAAAATAATGGCTGCTTTCCTTGAATACGTCATATTCCATTTGCAGAGGCCATATTGTAGTTAACATGTGAATCCTATCGGAACAACATGAATTATGAGAATAAGATGCCATAGGAGAAATTTTTGAAGAACCAAATAGCTGGTTGTTTACTACAAGTTCAAAAAGTGGTCATCATGCAATCAAATGAATCATGGGGAGAAAGTTTCCTAAGGCTATAAATATGTCTCATCAACAAATGAAGTCTTTGTTGAGAATTGTTGGGAGGGAGTCTCACGTTGGCTAATTTAGGGAATGATATGGGTTTATAAGTAAGGAATACATCTCCATTGCCATGAGACCTTTTGGGGAAGTCCAAGGCAAAGCCATGAGAGCTTATGCTCAAAGTGGACAATATTATATAATTGTGGAGAGTCGTGATTCCTAACATGGTGTTAGAGACATGTCCTTAACTTAGTCATGTAAATATAATCCTCAAATGTCGAACAAAGAAGTTGTGGGCCTCGAAGGTGTAGTCAAAAGTGACTCAAGTGTCGAACAAAGGGTGTACTTTGTTTAAGAACTCCAGAGAAGGAGTCAAGCCTTGATTAAAGGGAAGCTGTTCGAGGGCTCCGTAGGTCTTAGGGGAGGCTCTATAGTGTACTTTGTTTGAGGGGAGGATTGTTGAGGATTGTTGGGAGGGAGTCCCACATTGGCTAATTTAGGGAATGATGATGAGTTTATAAGTAAGGAATACATCTCTATTGCCATGAGGCTTTTGGGGAAGCTCAAAGCAAAGCCATGAGAGCATATGCTCAAAGTGGACAATATCATACTATTGTGGAGGCTCACAACCCCTTAGTTAAGAGGATGATCATGGATTTATAAGTAAGGAATATGTCTCCATTGGTATAATGCCTTTTGGAGAAATCAAAAGCAAAACCATGAGAGCTTATGCTCAAAGTGGATAATTTCATACCATTGTGGAGGTTCCTGATTCCTAACATGGTATCAGAGTCATGCCCTTGACTTAGCCATGTCAATAGTATCTTCAAGTGTCGAATAAAGAAGTTGTGAGCCTCAAAGGTATAGTCAAAAAGTGACTCTCGAACAAAGGGTGTACTTTATTCGAGGGCTCTAGAGAAAGGAGTTAAGCCTCAATTAAGAAGAGGCCGTTCAAGAGCTCTATAGGTCTCAAAAGAGGCTCTATGGTGTATTTTGTTCGAGGAGAGGATTGTTGAGAGGGAGTCCCACATTGACTAATTAAGAGGACGATGATAGGTTTATAACTAAGGAATACATCTCTATTGGTACGAGACCTTTTGGGAACTAAAAGCAAAACCATGAGAGCTTATGTTCCAAGTGGACAATATCATATCATTGTGGAGATTTGTGATTCCTATCAAGTATTTCTTTTGACCTGATATAACAATATCTCCATGGAAATAAATCTACCCATCAAAACTCCTACCATCAATTCACTAGATTGTTGTATATGGTTCAAAATTAAACCCAAATCATGAATCAGAGAGCACAGACATTAATAGCCAAGGCGTTCTAAAATCTTCTTCTAATAACTAAACAGAACAAGTAAACCCCAAAGCCTAAACAAACAGCAAGCAGATGTTCGAACTCGAGAAAGTTCCCAACGCAGCAACATATCAATCAACTCGAAACTCGGAAAGCATAAGAAAGCCCATAAAGAGCAAATTGAAAGCAACTCATGAACATAAAGATCGAATACTCAGGCATTATACTTAAAAATAACGCCAGATTAAGCCAAAAAGCTCAACGAATAACGAAGAACATCAAACGCTAATCGCAAAAAAAAACGAAACAGAAGATCGAACTCCTTGATGAATGGGAAAAACAAGAACGAAATCGGAGGGAAATTCATAATTCAAATTACCTGATTCCTCCTGATTCCTGAGAGAAATGGAAAAAAAAATGATAAGAGAATCAACAATGCGCCGCTCAGGCAAGTTCAGCGAAATAGAAGAAAACAAAAAATGGAGAAGCCAAAGAAGGCGATTAGCCGCTGAGAGTAGTTTGTTGAAATCGAAATGACCGAAATAGCCTTAACTGTATATTGTAATGATTATATTGCCCTTTGACTGACTTACCGGTATCGGGATAAGCCTTGCTACGTGGCCCAATCCAATCAATGAGGTCATTTTTTAGGGTTAAATTATGAATTTATTTTTAAAAAAAGATTTTAACAAATATTAAATTATAAAAATGAAATAAACACTAACTTCCAAGATTAATGATGTAATTTCACGTTTTTTTTTAAAAATAAAATACAGACTTGTCAACGAGTTTAATTATTTTTTATTTCTTTAAATTAATTGATTGACTTTCACTTTTACTTATAATATTAAATAAAATTATTTAAATTACAATATTAGTCATGAAATTAGATAAAAATAATTTTTTTAAAAAACAAATCATTAACTTTTAAAATTTTTTTTTGAGACATTTTCAAAAATTTAAAATTATTATTAAAACTTTTAAAAATTTGACAGATGTCCCTTGTCTGAGTCGGTTGGTCAGGAGGATGTCACGGTCATGCTTGTTCAAAGTATGTTGCTTATGCTCGCATGACAGATGTCACAGTCTTGCTTGTTCGAGTCGATTGACAGAGACGTCAACCAATTGAATGGGGGAGGTTGTCACAGTCATGCTTGTCCAAGGCATGTTTCTTATGGTTGCATGTCCGTTCCAAACCCCTTTTTCATGCTTTCATCTTAGATACACTTTTGCCATTTCATATCGGATCAATACAGGGGTGTATGACCGTTCAACGTTACACCCGCCTGGGCAAAAAAGCCCCAAAATGTACTATAGAAGAGGATATGACTAGTTGTCAACTTCTCCCTACCCAATAGTTATATGCTATAAGCCGTTGTTGTTGCATTTTTGCTTGCATCACATATAACACCAATTTGAATCTTTCAAATCTTACTTTCAAAACTCTCTTTCGAAATCTCTCTGCCTCGTTTTCTAAAACTTTTTTCTTGAACTAGGGTCAGACTCGAGCATACGTCACTTGGTCGTAGACGACACAAGAATGAATTAACTTAACTCACTTGTTACTGAGAAGTGAGTGCTTTACAATTGCAAGTCCGCTGCCATAAAACATGTGATTGTGAAATAATAATTATATATATTGGCACGACCCAAATTTTCGAGCTCAACTTGAGCCTAAAGTTAAAGGAATATACAATTCAAAAGTCGAATAAAACAAACTAATGGGAAAACTTGGCTCACAGGAGAGAATCATCCTTGGACAACAGCAGCCGATTGACTTGCTGAAACTGTCCCCATTGATATTACCGGTTCATGATCTGATGAACAAGTTTCTCCGGCAGCTGTTTTGCAGCCTGAAGAAAGATCCAGTCAGGAAAAATCCAACACCAATTAGTATGAACAAGGAGAATACGATCCGGTTTCTTGTTTCGAGTTTCCGAATGTTTCTAGTTCACAAAACCCGAAACAAGAAACAAAAACGTTAAACCAGACAACTCCGAGGAGTAGCAGATTTCCAAGCTAACGTCCCGGTCTCTTGTTTATAGTTATCGAATGTTACTAGTTCACAAAACCCGAAACAAGGGACAAAAACGCTAAACCAGACAACTCCGAAGAGTTGTAGATTTCCAAGCTAACGTCCCGGTTTCTTGTTTATAGTTATCGAATGTTTCTAGTTCATAAAACCCGAAACAAGAAACAAGAAACAAAAACGTTAGACCAGACAACTCCAAAGAGTTGCAGATTTCCAAGCTAACGTCCTGGTTTCTTGTTTATAGTTATCGAATGTTTCTAGTTCACAAAACCCGAAACAAGAAACAAGAACGTTAAACCAGACAACTCGAAAGAGTAGCAGATTCAAAGGAACAAACCTGGAAATCTCTCATGTGCAAAATTGGTTCGCATCCAATATCTGCAACTGATTTTCCAGTTACTGTGTGCAGTTTGAATGTCTTGGCTTCATAAGCTGAGATAGCAGCTTTGTTATGGGGAAGATCTTGACAAACTTTCATAAGAGAGCTGAGAGAGTTCATCTGGATGATCCCAAACAAGACAGTATCAGAATTCCACACCAAGTTTCATCAGATCACATCACATCACATCAGCACAATTATACTAATAACACTAAAAACTATTTTTTTTTAGGTCCCACGTGGATTGGAGAGAGAAAAGAAACATTCGTGCCAAGTGTGTGGAAACCTCTCCTTAGTAAACGTGCCACGAAAAGGAAAACCCAAAGAAGACAATATCTACTAGCGATGAGTTTGGGTGGTTATAAATGGTATTAGAGCCAGAGCGGTGTGCAAGGACGCTGGTTCCCTAAGGAGGTGGATTGTGAGGTCCCACATCGGTTGGTGAGGGGAAGCTCAAAAGGAAAAACCCAAAGAGAATAATATCTGTTAACATTGGGCTTGAGCTCATACAAATGGTATCAGAGCCAGACATTGAGCAGTGTGTCAGCGAGAACCCTTATCTTCTAAGGGGGGTGAATTGTGAGGTCCCAAATCGGTTAGAGAGGGGAACGAAGCATTCTTGGGTGTGAAAACCTCTCTCCCTAGTAGACACGTTTTAAAACCTTGAGGAAAAGCTCAGAAGGGAAAGCCAAAGAAGACAATATCTACTAGTGGTGGGCTTGGGCTGTATAGTTTTCATTGGTGGAAATAGTGTGTTGTCAGCGAGGACCCTGGTTCTCCAAGGGGATGGATTATGAGGTCCCAAATTGGTTAGAGAGGGGCGCGAAACATTCCTGGGTGTGAAAACTTCTCTCCCTAGTAGACACGTTTTAAAACCTTGAGGAAAAGCTCAGAAGGGAAAGCTAAAGAGGACAATATCTACTAGCGGTGGGCTTGGGGTGTACAGTTTTCATCGGTGGAAATAGTGTTTATAAGTTTAATTTTCAAAAACCAATCATTTACCAAACGGGGCGTAAATTAACTATATATATACTAACCTTCATGTATGGACAAGATGCACAGCCACCATGAATAGAACATCCCTCCCCACTCGAAACTCCAGGTACTACAGGTAAATTGATCTCACCGAGCGCAACCGATTTTCGGCCTGGGGACGAACTTGATGATGTGCTTGTCACTGAATCCGACGACACAGGAAAAACAATCTCTACATTGATCTTTGCTCCTCCAGAAGTGGTTTTTGAAGAACTTAATAAATTACGAACAGCTGCAACAATTGAAGTTATCATTCCAGATTCTGTTCCCAACACAAATTGTAGATGTTCATTAACATTTCTGTCTAAAGCTTCTTGCACCCTTTGTATTATGAAGTCTAATATGTTCTGGGTGGAACCTACAATGCCCATTCCTCTTCTTTTTGCTTCCATTGCTAAGGCAAACATTTCTCCAGGAACTTCAAAGTGAGCAGTAAGGAATGCGTCACAGTACATTTCATTTATCTTCTCCACAACTTCGTGCCCGAAAAGATGATGAACAATGCATGTACCTTCCTGAAATTAGAAGACATCAATTATATCAAGTGATGATGATGATAATCTGTAGGTAAATAGGCTAGTGAAGGTTCTGCAATCAACACAATCTGCAAAGATATCATGATCCAAAAAGATAGTTGAGGCATAAGATTTATACATGCATGTTCAACCAAAGCCCATGATGAAGATAAAAGGGTGAAAATGTGAGATTTCACGTCGATCGGAGAGGGGAACGAAATATTCTTTAGAAGGATGTGGAAACCTCTCCCTAGCATACGCGTTTTAAAACCTTGAGGGGAAGCTCGGAAGGGAAAGCCCAAAGAGGACAATATTTGCTAGCGGTGGGCTTGGGCTGTTACAAATGGTATTAGAGCCGACATCGGCCAGTGTGCCAGTGAGGATGCTAAGTCCCGAAAGGGGTGGATTGTGAGATTCCACATCGACGAAACATTCCTTAGAAGGGTGGGGAAACCTCTCCCTAGCAGCTGCATTTTAAAACTTTGAGGGGAAGCCCGGAAGAGAAAGCCCAAAGAGGACAATATATGCTAATGTTGGACTTGGGCTGTTACAAACGGTATCAGAGCCCGATATTGGGGGGTGTGCCAGCGAGAATGTTGAATCTCGAAGGGGGTGGATTGTGAGAATCCAAATCGATTGGAAAAGAGAACGAAACATTCTTTAGAAGGGTGTGGAATCTCGAAGAGTGATATATAATATCATAATGATACCCGTGCAGGGTTTTCTAATATTAACAAATAGGAACACAGAGCTCTCTGTTCTTCATTTTCTACCATCACTAACCTGAGCTTCAGCATAGCTTCCTTTAGCATGAATTCCATCAGCACTCACAACCAGAGATGGAAACGCCTCAAATGGCGATTTCCCTTCAAGCTCCGCAATCAAACCCTTCGTTCTCTTTTGCATACTAATCAAAACATTGTACCAAGTATTTGCTCTCGATCGCTCTCGAACCGGCAACCCCACATTCAGAGCCACCAAATCCTCCCTCTTCAACCTAAGAACATCCTCTGGCAACGCACCATCAAGCACCGAAATCAAACACGAGCAAAACCCTTTAGAGATTTCCGAATCACTATCAGCAGCGAACCTCATCTTACCCTCTTGATCAATCCTAACTTCCAACCACACCTGTGCCGTACACCCCATGACCCGATTCGAGTCATTTCTCGCACTGTAAGGAGGAAGAAGACTCGCATAACGTAGCAACCGTTTCACTCTATCGACCGGCTCGGATATTGACTCGAATTCCTCAATCAAGCGATGAAGCTTAAAGGGAACAAGCTCAGTGGTAGAAGACGGCGAAAGGGTCGCAGCAGAGCAGGCGAAACGAGAGCTGAGATTTTGGGTATTGGATTTTAGTGATTGAATGCATTTATGGGTCTCGAAGAACGGTATGGGAGGTTTTTGAGCAAGAAATTTCACATGGGTACTCTTAGAATTTGGGTTTGAACAAAAGGAGAAAACAGAGGAAGTGGTCGCTCTACTAGCCATGATCGTAGAGGACTCCATTGCAAGAAGGGAACAAACCAAAGGGTCGCAAGGATAAAGGGGGAGGTGGGTATCTAGCAGTGGGGCTTACACGATTCTCGAGAGCAGCCCAAGAAAAGTCTGACACGGAAACAGAGAGACAGTGGCGGAGAGAGTATAGCCATTAGTTAAATACAAGGCCCGGAGTTTCTTTGGTCATTATGCTCCAAATTAAGCAGGGAGACACGAGAGATATGAAGCAAATCATGGGAAGTGGGAAAGTTCATTCGATGGGTCCAGAAAAAGAGGCTTTGATGGAAAGAAAAAGTAGCCATGGAAACGAAGAGATGAAAGCGATGGCTGTGGAAACAAATGGTTTTCATGAATGGGATTGTGTCATGGCCCTCAGCCATCGGCATTAGACACTCAATGAGGGAGCAATGACGTTGAGCTTATTCTTTAGCTCACTAAACTTCAACGTAGACAAGGGTTTTGTTAGATCATCAACTAGCTACTCTTGGAAGGTACATACCTTAGCTCAATGGCTCAATCTTTAGCAATTAGTTTCTGCTAGCATAGCATTCTTGCACACACTTGATCTAGGTGGCTGACCCGTGAACGGGGAACTTGAGCGACCCGACCCAATCGGGGTGGTCTGACTTGTGGGCAGCCCAATTCAGACCGTTCGACCCTAGTTCAGCCGATTGGACCTATGTTTAGGTAAATTTTCCTTTTTAACTCCCATTTTCGCTTATTTTTCACCTATTTTATCTTTTTCAAGTGTTTTTTTTTCTCTTCTTAGCTAATTTGAGTGTCAGTAGGGTATACATTCAACGAGTCAATTCGAACCGGCTCAACCCGAATGATAAGAATTGGGTTAATTTTCTGAACCGGACTAGATTGATTCGATTTGGTGGACAAAATCTCCTTAGAAAAAAAAAAAAGAAAAAAGAGAAGAAAAAAAAATACTTCATTGTTTCCTTTTTTTTTAATTAAACAAAATATTATCAAAATAAAATCTGAAGAATCCCTAAAACTACGGAAGATCAGGCAATGGTTAAATTACCTAGCCGTTCGTATCGTTGACCCTTTTCCACGGTCAGAGCGAAACGGTCTTCAGAGCCGTTACCCCCGGCTTATTCGGACACCAGCCGTCTCGGCCCCACGGGGATCATTATATATCCCTCCCAAACTCACACTCTCTTCTTCAGAACATTCTCGCACAAGAATCGGAGCGCTCCATCGAAGGTCTCTTCCCTTCTGAACGCTCGTTACCGAAATCAAACGCTAGATAATTACCAAGCAATTGGAGGAAGAGAGAGCAGAATCGAAAGGAGTTTGTCGCCTGATCCCGGTGATGAAAAATACAGGTAATGCAACTAACTTCATTCAGCCTTTAATTTTATTGGTAGTTTGGACTTGACTACTCTGTTCTTGGTTTGAAATTTTAAGGGCACAGTCGGCTATTCCGATTTAGAAGTTTATTGTGGAGAACTTCAGAGGTTAATCAAAGAATTGTTCTGTTTTGTTCTTCTTCTTCTTTCTTTGCCTGTTATCGACACCTTTTGTATTTTTCGTGGTTTCGATTACGGAGGATTAGGGCGTTTTTAGTCGATTTTGGACTCTTCGTCTTATTCCTGTCATCTTCTATCTCTTCTCTGTGTGGGGAGCCAGGGGACGGATCTGATATTCAAATTTATGTGTTGGCAGATGAGAGGAGGACGCCGAACTGTTATGTAATTGCGATTAGTTCCGAGAGGGGTAGAACAAAGCAGCTGCTCTTGATGAAGTGATTACTTGGGCAAAAGAAAAGCAGTTGGTCCTGTCGGGATTTTCGAATCTGCTAGGAATACTGGTATGATTCCAAGCCCAAGGCTGTGAAGTTTCGAATCTGTTGTTTATAAGTTAATTTTTAATTTTTATTATTTGTTGGCCGTGAAGTTGTGAATTGTAGCTTTAGCTGCTTTATTGATCTTCGGTTTTACTTGAAAAAGGATGTACTGAAAGTAAATGATGAATCAAAAAGCCTAATATCATGAAAGTCGTTTTTCTTGTAAGAAGTTCTGCAGGTCCCTCCCTTGCTCAATGAAGAACCATGGAATTGCTGTCCTTTTATCTTCCATAAGTTCTTCACCATATTTTTTTTCGGCCATGGCCTGTTGCTTGCTTGGGTTGCAATGAAATAAACTATATTACAAAATATAGAATCTTATCGGCACAGTTACCATCCTCTCTGTAGAGCCAGTTTAGACAATGCTTCTTATAGAACTTAGCCAGAATTGAAGGAAAAACAGTTGGCTTGTATTGTAAAATTTAGTGTCATGCACAATTGTCTGCTTATTGAACTTTAGTTAGTCGTAAGGCCCTCATAGTTGAGTTGAGTGGCAGTTTCAAAGCTAGCCAACACATTTGAGACTTGAGGCTGAAGTTATCTGGTTGTTATATGCATTTTTACACACACCTACGTTATGGAAAAAATACTTTTAAGATTTTCAATCTAATCATATTTTACATTCGGGTTCTGAATTTTCTCTTACGAACATTCCTCTAGGTCATGATGATAAACGATATGAGAGATATACTAGTGCCTGGATCAATTTTTGAGATTGATTTGAGTTAAGGGCAGAAGGATGACAGTCAATTTATTGAAATCGAAGGTACTTTCTTTGTTCAACTTAATGATTTGTTTGAATTGGAGATCAATGCATAATTATTTATTTATTTTCATTGATAATATCATGCAGGACGGTCTGGTTCATGTAAAGTTTGCTTTAAACAATTAGGGGTGCATAAAATATAACCACACAACCCACTAAGGTAAGCCATTGCTTTTACAAATCTTTTATCATTCTAGTTACGGGTCAAACTTTAACAAAAATGGTTAATGTTCACTTTTAATGATTTCAACTTTATTGCTCATATTTCCTTTGCTAATGGAGAAGATTTTGATTAATAAATATGTTGTGAAAATTTCAGATGGAAATGGAGGACATAGATGGAGATGATAAAGTTGAGGTCAAGGAATCTAACTCCGGTTGCTACTTTCAGCACTCCACGTAAGAAATTTTCTACTTGACATCATAAACTACCTTATCTATAGCCTAGATCTCATGAGAATTACGTTATTGGCAATCTTGTGGTCCTATATTTAATCTTTATTATATCTTTGCCTTTTCTTTTTGATGTTCCTTGTGTTTTACCGATATCATGTTTCTGGTTCTGTTTGACATCATTCTGTTGGTTAGGTTCCTATATTTATTCTTTATTATATATCTTTGAATGAATGAGTTATTTATTTATTTATTTTTTTTAAGCTTTCATTGAAATTAAATGAAACAATACAAGACGAACACTCCACCTCAAGTGGAGCCTAATTGACCTAAAAAGGTGCTCCAATCAAGCAAAATAAGATCCGAAGGATAAAACCTCAAGGTGTTCCCATGGAATTACAACCGGTAGGTTGGGAAGACCAAAAACGATAAGCTCTACATTATAAGGAAACATAAGGATGACCAAAGAAGACTTGTTAGTCTCAACAAAGGATGTCGAAATCAAAAGGGACAATTGTCGGAACAAGAAAATGCCTTAGGGCATAAGTTAAGAACTAAAGGCTACAATGACTAATTATAAGGATTATGAAAGGCCAAGGGTAGTTACAAGGATTAAGGAAAGCTTTGTAATACCAAGAAAAGAAGAACTTAATACCCAAAGAACCCATGTTGTGCAAGAAAGGAAAAGAAAGGAATATCTAAGATAAGGCTTGACAATCTCAACAAAAGAGTGTTGAGTAGACAGTCAAAAGGAACAAATCTTGGAACAAATACACTCTTTTAAGACTTGTTAAGAACTAAAGGCCACAAGGGCTGATTATAAGGATTATGGACGACCAAGGAATGTTATAAGGATTAAGGAAGACTTTGTAATACCGAGAAAAGAAGAGCTTAAGACCCACAGAACCATGATAAGAACTCAGGACTAAAGAACAAAATCTAAGGACCAAAGTTCTGAGGGCAAGAACACGAACATGACAAGTAAATGAGTATGGTAGGTACTATCATCCACCATGGACACGAAGAGCCTACAAATAGGCTACTTATCTAGTCTTTGTCTTCATTCTAGTTCTTCCATGTTTTTTAGGTTATCAAGAAGGTGCTGGTTGAGGATGAGAGTAGATCTGTAGCAGGTGCCATAGAGAGCCCCATCCTGTTTTCAACTATTTAATGTTTTAAGTTTGCTTACTGGGCCCAGTGTTTTAAGTTGGTTTTCAACTATTTATGTTTTTGTTTTAAAATTGAAAAAATTTACCATCCTCTTTTTACGTTTTCAAGTTTTTAGTATGTCACGACTTGTGGCAAAAGTGGTATCACAGCAGAGCTTCTTTATGACCCTGCTTAAGAGACACTATCGCCTTAACTAGGTATGTACACTTTAAGACTTGATAAGTATGCCAAAGGATTTTAAGGGCTTGATTAACTTTGGGATTACTATATTAATATAAGAATTGTAGACAGCTAAGAGATGTTTTAAGGATTAAGGAAGATATTGTAATACCGAGAAAAGAATAGCTTAAAACCCAAAGAACCCGCCTTATACAAGATGGAACAAAAGGAACATCTAAGCTAAGACCTTGAAGAAACAATGTTGATTCTGCAAAGGGTTGTTGAGAAGGTGAGAATTTGTAAGGCCCCACGTAAGGTTAAGACACTCGAGTATGTCGAAACAAGGATGTTGACAAGACACTTAAGAGCCGAATGTCGGAACAAGTACATGGTCTTAAAGCATAAGTGAAGAACTAAAGGGCACAAGAGCTGATTCTAAAAACATGTCGGAGAAGGAAAAACCTATAAATGGACTCTTAAGAAACTTGAAAAGACATAAGTAAGGATAAGTACCCCAAGACAAGGTAAGAACAATGAATTTTCGAGGACGAAAGTGCTTAAGAGGGTGAGAATTTTGTAAGATCCCAAGTAAGGTTAAGACACTCAAGTATGTCGAAACAAGGATGTTGACAAGACAGTCAAGGGCCAAATGTCGGAACAAGTACATGACCTCAAGGCGTAAGTTAAGAACTAAAGGGCACAAGTGCTGATTATAAAGACATGTTGGAGAAGGGAAAACCTATAAATGGACCCTTAAGAAACTTGAATGGACATAACTAAGGATAAGTACCCTAAGACAAGGTAAGAACAATGAACTTTCGAGGACGAAAGTGCTTAAGAGGGTGAGAATTTGTAAGATGCCAAGTAAGGTTAAGACACTGGAGTATGTCGAAACAAGAATGTTGACAAGACAGTCAAGGGCCAAATGTCGGAACAAGTACATGGCCTTAATGCATAAGTTAAGAACTAAAGGGCACAAGGGCGAATTATAAAGACATGTTGGAGAAGGAAAAACCTATAAATGGACCCTTAAGAAACTTGAAAGGACATAGCTAAGGATAAGTACTCCAAGACAAGGTAAGAACATTGAACTTCCGAGGACGAAAGTGCTTAAGAGGTTGAGAATTTGTAAGACCCCAAGTAAGGTTAAGACACTCGAGTATGTCAAAACAAGGATGTTGACAGGCCAAATGTTGGAACAATTACATGGCCTTAAGCACAAGTTAAGAACTCAAGGGCACAAGGGCCGATTATAAAGACATGTTGGAGAATGAAAAACCTATAAATGGACCTTTAAGAAACTTGAAAAGACATAACTAAGGATAAGTACCCCAAGACAAGGTAAGAACAATGAACTTTCGAGGACGGAAGTGCTTAAGAGGGTGAGAATTTGTAAGACCCCAAGTAAGGTTGAGACACTCGAGTATGTCAAAACAAGGATGTTGACAAGATAGTCAAGGGGCAAATGTCGAAACAAGTACATGGCCTTAAAGCATACGTTAAGAACAAATGGGCACAAGGGCTGATTATAAAGACATGTCGGAGAAGGAAAAACATATAAATGGACCCTTAAGAAACTTGAAAGGACATAACTAAGGATAAGTACCCCAAGACAAGGTAAGAACAATGAACTTTCGAGGACGAAAGTGCTTAAGAGGGTGAGAATTTGTAAGATGCCAAGTAAGGTTAAGACACTGGAGTATGTCGAAACAAGAATGTTGACAAGACAGTCAAGGGCCAAATGTCGGAACAAGTACATGGCCTTAATGCATAAGTTAAGAACTAAAGGGCACAAGGGCGAATTATAAAGACATGTTGGAGAAGGAAAAACCTATAAATGGACCCTTAAGAAACTTGAAAGGACATAGCTAAGGATAAGTACTCCAAGACAAGGTAAGAACATTGAACTTCCGAGGACGAAAGTGCTTAAGAGGTTGAGAATTTGTAAGACCCCAAGTAAGGTTAAGACACTCGAGTATGTCAAAACAAGGATGTTGACAGGCCAAATGTTGGAACAATTACATGGCCTTAAGCACAAGTTAAGAACTCAAGGGCACAAGGGCCGATTATAAAGACATGTTGGAGAATGAAAAACCTATAAATGGACCTTTAAGAAACTTGAAAAGACATAACTAAGGATAAGTACCCCAAGACAAGGTAAGAACAATGAACTTTCGAGGACGGAAGTGCTTAAGAGGGTGAGAATTTGTAAGACCCCAAGTAAGGTTGAGACACTCGAGTATGTCAAAACAAGGATGTTGACAAGATAGTCAAGGGGCAAATGTCGAAACAAGTACATGGCCTTAAAGCATACGTTAAGAACAAATGGGCACAAGGGCTGATTATAAAGACATGTCGGAGAAGGAAAAACATATAAATGGACCCTTAAGAAACTTGAAAGGACATAACTAAGGATAAGTACCCCAAGACAAGGTAAGAACAATGAACTTTCGAGGACGAAAGTGCTTAAGAGGGTGAGAATTTGTAAGACCCCAAGTAAGGTTGAGACACTCGAGTATGTCAAAACAAGGATGTTGACAAGATAGTCAAGGGGCAAATGTCGAAACAAGTACATGGCCTTAAAGCATACGTTAAGAACAAATGGGCACAAGGGCTGATTATAAAGACATGTCGGAGAAGGAAAAACATATAAATGGACCCTTAAGAAACTTGAAAGGACATAACTAAGGATAAGTACCCCAAGACAAGGTAAGAACAATGAACTTTCGAGGACGAAAGTGCTTAAGAGGGTGAGAATTTGTAAAATCCCAAGTAAGGTTAAGACACTCGAGTATGTCGAAACAAGGATGTTGACAAGACAATCAAGGGGCAAATGTCGGAACAAGTACATGGCCTTAAGGCATAATTTAAGAACTAAAGGGCACAATGGCTAATTATAAAGACATGTCGGAGAAGGGCAAACCTATAAATGGACACTTAAGAAACTTGGAAGTTCAAAACTAAGGATAAGTACCCCAAGACAAGGTAAGAACAATGAACTATCGAGGACGAAAGTTCTTAACAAGACAAGGTAAGAACAATGAACTTTCGAGGACGAATGTGCTTAAGAGGGTGAGAATTTGTAAGATCCCAAGTAAGGTTAAGACACGCGAGTATGTCGAAACAAGGAGGTTGACAAGCCAAGGGGAAAATGTTGGAATAAGTTTATGGCCTTAAGGCATAAGTTAAGAACTAAAGCGCACACGGGCTGATTATAAAGACATGTCGAAGAAGGGCAAACCTATAAATGAACCCTTAAGAAACGTGAAAGGACATGATTAAAGATAAATACCCCAGGACAAGGTAAGAACAATGAACTTTCGAGGACGATAGTTCTTAAGAGGGTGGGAATTTGTAAGATCCCAAGTAATGTTAAGACACTTGACTATGTTGAAATAAGGATGTTGATAAAATAATCATGGGCGAAATGTCGGAACAAGTACCGGGCTCTAAGGTATAAGTGAAGAACTAAAGGGCACAATGGCTAATTATAAAAACATGTTGGAGATGGACAATCCTATAAATGGACCTTAAGAAACTTGGAAGGACATAACTAAGAATAAGTACCCCCAACACAAGGTAAGAACAATGAACTTTCGAGGACGAAAGTTCTTAATAGGGTGAGAATTTGTAAGACCCCAAGTAAGGTTAATACACTCGAATATGTTGGAACGAGGATGTTGACAAGACAGTCAAGGGGCAAATGTCGAAACAAATACATGACCTTGAGACTTGTTAATAACTAAAGGTTACAATGGCTGATTAAAGACATAGTGGAGAAGGGAAAACTTGTAAATGGACCCTTTAGAAACTTGGAAGGACATAACTAAGGATAAGTACCCCAGATAAGGTAAGAACAATGAACTTTCGAGGACGAAAGTGCTTAAGAGGGTGAGAATTTGTAAAATCGCAAGTAAAGTTAAGACACTCGAGTAAGTCGAAACAAGGATGTTGACAAGACACTCAAGGGTCAAATATCGGAACATGTACATGGCTTTAAGGCATAGGTTAAGAACTAAAGGGCACAAGGGCTGATTATAAAGACATGCCGAAGAAGGAAAAACCTATAAATGGATCCTTAAGAAACTTGAAAGGACATAACTAAGGATAAGTAGCCCAAGACAAGGTAAGAAAAATGAACTTTCGAGGACGAAAGTGCTTAAGAGGGTGAGAATTTGTAAAATCCCAAGTAAGGTTAAGACACTCGAGTAAGTCGAAACAAGGATGTTGACAAGACAGTCAAGGGCCAAATGTCGGAACAAGTACATGGCTTTAAGGCATAAGTTAAGAACTAAAGGGCACAAGGGCTGATTATAAAGACATGTCGGAGAAGGAAAAACCTATAAATGGACCCTTAAGAAACTTGAATGGACATAACTAAGGATAAGTACCCCAAGACAAGGTAAGAACAATGAACTTTCGGGGACGAAAGTGCTTAAGAGGTTGAGAATTTGTAAGACCCCAAGTAACAGACACTCGAGTATGTCGAAATAAGGATGTTGACAAGACAGTCAAAGGCCAAATGTCGGAACAAGTACATGGCCTTAAGGCATAAGTTAAGAACTAAAGGGCACAAGCGCTGATTATAAAGACATGTCGGAGAAGGGAAAACCTATAATTGGACCCTTAAGAAACTTGGAAGGACAAAACTAAGGTTAAGACACTCGAGTATGTTGAAATAAAGAGGTTGACAAGACAGTCAAAGGCCAAATGTCGTAACAAGTACATGGCCTTAAGGCATAAGTTAAGAACTAAAGGGCACAAGGGCTGATAAAGACATGTCGGAGAAGGGAAAACCTATAATTGGAGCCTTAAGAAACTTGGAAGGACAAAACTAAGGATAAGTACCTGAAGACAAGACAAGAACAATGAACTTTCAAGGACGAAAGTGCTTAAGAGGGTGAGAATTTGTAAGACCCCAAGTAAGGTTGAGACACTCGAGTATGTCGTAACAAGGATGTTAACAAGTCTAGGGACAAATGTTGGAATAAGTACATGGCTGCAAGGCATAAGTTAAGAAACTTGGAAGGACATGTCGAAGAAGGGCAAACATATAAATGGAATCTTAAGAAACTTGGAACGACACAACTACGGATAAGTACCCCAAGACAAGTTCAACGAACTTTCAAGGACGAAAGTTCTTTAAGAGGTTGAGAATTTTTAAGGCCCCACGTAAGGTTAAGACACTCGAGTATGTCGAAAAAGGATGTTGACAAGATAGTTGGGGGGCAAATGTCGGAACAAGTACATGGCCTTAAAGCAGAAGTTAAGAACTAAAGGGCACAAGGGCTGATTATAAAGACATGTCGGTGAAGGAAAAACCTATAAAAAAACCTATAAATGGACCCTTAAGAAACTTGGAAGGACATAAGGATAAGTACCCCAAGACAAGCTAAGAACAATGAACTTTCGAGGACGAAAGTGCTTAAGAGGGTGAGAATTTGTAAGACCCCCAGTAAGGTTAAAGACACTCGAGTATGTCGAAACAAGATTGTTGACAAGACAGTCAAGGGCCAATTGTCGGAACAAGTACATGACTTTAAGGCATAAGTTAAAGAACTAAATGTAATGACCCAAAAATAAAATAATATGTGTTTAGGTGGGTATGTTTTTGGGTTGAAATTAATAATAATAATAATGTTATTATTATTATGATAATTATGAAATAAGAAAATAAATGAATTAGTTAAATAAAAATAATAAAATAAAATAAAAAAAAAAGAAAAAGAATACAGCAGCATGCCAGTGAGAAAGGAGGAAGGGACAGGTGGATTAAAGGGAAAAAGAGAGAAGATGGAGGTGCGTGGGGTGCTAAAGGGCAGTAAAGATTGTTGTAGTTAAAGATTGTTGTAGTGGTGGAAAATTAGATAGCTATCGTTGGTGTGGGATTAAAAATGAAGAACGAAAAAGAAATAAAAATAGGAAAACAGGGGAGGAGAGTTAAAATTGGCGAATCTTTCGGAAATACTCATGGTTTGGCGATTTCTTTGTCGGGGCGCAAGCTTGAGATTAGAGGAATGCTTGTGGAAACTATCAGAGTTGGAAGCTCAAGCGATAAGCCATATTAGTCGTTTATTCGAAGGGAAGAAAACCCATTTGACCGAATTTTTAAATTCCGATATCTTCGTCTATACTGGCGTAATAAGTTATGAAATAGGGCTTGTTAGAATCATAACAAGAAGATCTATAAAGTTGTAGTGGAAGTCGGGACGAAATACGGGCTGTAGAGGTGGAATATGGCTTCGGGACATAATCGGTATTAATAGGAAAGTTGGGAAAATTGCAGAAAACATAGGAAGAAGAAGGAGCGCATGCACTACACGCAGGGCGCGTGAGGAGCCGCGACTGGGCGTGCGACTGGGAGTTCTCCTGGCGCGTGGGACAAACATAGCGCGTTGGTCAGGAACTCCCAGTTGCATGCTCAGTCGTGGCTCCTCACGCGCCCTGCGTGTAGTGCATGCGCTCCTTCTTTTTCCTCTGTTTTCTGCAATTTTTCAACTTTCCTATTACCAACTATGTCCCAAAGCCATATTCCAGCTCTACAGCCCGTATTTCGTCCCGACTTCCACTACAACTTTACAGATCTTCTTGTTTGATTCTAACAAGCCCTATTTCATAACTTATTACGCCAGTATAGATGAAGATATCGGAATTTAAAAATTCGGTCAAATGGGTTTTCTTCCCTTCGAATAAACGACTAATATGGCTTATCGCTTGAGCTTCCAACTCTGATAGTTTCCACAAGCGTTCCTCTAATCTCAAGCTTGCGCCCCGACAAAAAAATCACCAAACCATGAGTATTTCCGAAAGATTCACCAATTTTAACTCTCCTCCCCTGTTTTCCTATTTTTATTTCTTTTCCGTTCTTCCTTTTTAATCCCACACCAGACCAGAGCTCTCTAATTTTCCGCCACTCTACCACTCTTTAGCACCCCACCACTCTTTAGCACCCCACGCATCTCCATCTTCCTCTCTTTTTCTCCTTTAATCCACATATCCCTTCCTCCTTTCTCACTGGTGCTGTATTTTTTTTTTCTATTTTATTTTATTTTATTTATTTTCTTATTTCATAATTATCATAATAATAATAATAATAATTATTATTATTAATTTCAACCCAAAAACATACCCGCCTAAACACGTATTATTTTATTTTTGGGTCATTACAAAAAAGCACATGGGCTGTGATTATAAAGACATGTCGGAGAAGGAAAAACCTATAAATGGACCCTTAAGAAACTTGAAAGGACATAACTAAGGATAAGTACCCCAACCAAGGTAAGAACAATGAACTTTCGAGGACGAAAGTTCTTAAGAAGGTGAGAATTTGTAAGATTTCAAGTAAGGTTAAGAAACTCGAGTATGTCGAAACAAGGATATTGACAGTCCAGGGCCAAATGTCGGAACAAGTACATGGCCTTAAGGCATAAGTTCAGAACTAAAGGGCAGAAGGGCTGATTATAACGACATGTCGGAGAAGGAAAAACCTATAAATAGACCCTTAAGAAACTTGAAAGGACATAACTAAGGATAAGTACCCCAAGACAAGGTAAGAACAATGAACTTTCGAGGACGAAAGTAGTGCTTAAAAGGGTGAAAATTTGTAAGATACTCGAGTATGTCGAAACAAGGATGTTAACAAGTCCAGGGACAGATGTCGGAATAAGTACATGGCCGCAAGGCATAAGTTAAGAGGGTGAGAATTTGTAAGATCCCAAGTAAGGTTAAGACACTCGAGTATGTCGAAACAAGGATGTTAACAAGTCCAGGGACAGATGTCGGAATAAGTACATGGCTGCAAGGCATAAGTTAAGAAACTTGGAAGGACATGTCGAAGAAGAGCAAACATATAAATGGAATCTTAAGAAACTTGTAACGACACATCTATGGATAAGTACCCCAAGACAAGGTTCAACGAACTTTTGAGGTATGAAAGTTCTTTAAGAGGTTGAGAATTTTTAAGGCCCCACGTAAGGTTAAGACGTTGTCGGTGAAGGAACTAAAGGGCACTCGAGTATGTTGAAAAAGGATGTTGACAAGATAGTCAAGGGCCAATTGTCGGAACAAGTACATGGCTTTAAGGCCTAAGTTAAGAACTAAAGAGCACGAGGGCTGATTATAAAGACATGTCAGAGAAGGGAAAACCTATAATTGGACTCTTAAGAAACTTGGAAGGACAAAACTAAGGATAAGTACCTGAAGAAAAGATAAGAACAATGAACTTTCAAGGACGAAAGTTCTTAAGAGGGTTTGTAAGATCCCAAGTAAGGTTAAGACACTCGAGTATGTCGAAACAAGGATGTTGACAAGACAGTCAAGGGACAATTGTCGGAACAAGTAACATGGCTTTAAGGCATAAGTTAAGAACTAAAGGGCACAAGGGCTGATTATAAAGACATGTCGGAGAAGGTAAAACCTATAATTGGACCCTTAAGAAACTTGGAAGGACAAAACTAAGGATAAGTACTTGAAGAAAAGATAAGAAAAATAAACTTTCAAGGACGAAAGTTCTTAAGAGGGTAAGAATTTGTAAGACCCCAAGTAAGGTTGAAACACTCGAGTATGTCGAAACAAGGATGTTGACAAGATAGTCAAGGGCCAAATGTCGGAACAAGTACATGGCCTTAAGGCATAAGTTAAGAACTAAAGGGCACAAGGGCGGATTATAACGACATGTCGGAGAAGGATGGACCCTTAAGAAACTTGAATGGACATAACTCAGGATAAGTACCCCAAGACAAGGTAAGAACAATGAACTTTCGAGGACGAAAGTGCTTAAGAGAGTGAGAATTTGTAAGTTCCCAAGTAAGGTTAAGACACTCGAGTATGTCGAAACAAGGATGTTAACAAGTCCAGGAACAAATTTCGGAATAAGTACATGGCCGCAAGGCATAAGTTACGGAACTTGGAAGGATAAGTAACTTGGAACGACACAACTAAGGATAAGTACCTCAAGACAAGGTTCAACGAACTTTTGAGGACGAAAGTTCTTTAAGAGGTTGAGAACTTTTAAGGCCCCACGTAAGGTTAAGACACTCGAGAATGTCGAAAAAGGATGTTGACAAGATAGTCGAGGGGCAAATGTCGGAACAAGTACATGGCCTTAAAGCATAAGTTAAGAACTAAATGGCGCAAGGGCTGATTATAATAAAGACATGTCGGTGAAGGAAAAACCTATAAATGGACCCTTAAGAAACTTGAATGGACATATTTAAGGATAAGTACCCCAAGACAATGTAAGAACAATGAACTTTCGAGGACGAAAGTGCTTAAGAGGGTGAGAATTTGTAAGACTCCAAGTAAGGTTAAGACACTCGAGTATGTCGAAACAAGGATGTTGACAAAACAGTCAAGGGCCAATTGTCGGAACTAGTACATGGCTTTAAGGCATAAGTTAAGAACTAAAAAGCACAAGGGCTGATTATAAAGACATGTCAGAGAAGGAAAAGCCTATAAATGAACCCTTAAGAAACTTGAAACTTGAAACGACATAACTAAGGATAAGTACCCCAAGAAAAGGTAAGAACAATGAACTTTCGAGGATGAAAGTTCTCAAGAGGGTGAGAATTTGTAAGATCCCAAGTAAGGTTAAGACACTTGAGTAGGTCGAAACAAGGATTTTGACAAGACAGTCAAGGGCCAATTGTCGGAACAAGTACATGGCTTTAAGGCATCAGTTAAGACATCAATTAAGAACTAAAGGCACAAGGGCTGATTATAAAGACATGTCGGAGAAGGTAAAACCTATAATTGGACCCTTAAGAAACTTGGAAGGACAAAACTAAGGATAAGTACCTGAAGATAAGATAAGAACAATCAACTTTCAAGGACGAAAGTTCTTAAGAGGGTGAGAATTTGTCCCAAAGTAAGGTTGAGACACTCGAGAATATTTCGAAACAAGGATGTTAACAAGTCAAGGGACAATTGTCGGAATAAGTACATGGCCTTAAGGCCTAAGTTAAGAACTAAAGGGCACAAGGGCTGATTATAAAGACATGTCGGAGAAGGAAAACATATAAATGGACCCTTAAGAAACTTGGAAGACCAAAACTAAGGAAAAGTACTTGAAGACAAGATAAGAACAATGAACTTTCAAGGACGAAAGTTCTTAAGAGGGTGAGAATTTGTAAGACCCCAAGTAAGGTTAAGACACTCGAGTATGTCGAAACAAGGATGTTGACAAGATAGTCAAGGGGCAAATGTCGGAACAAATACATGGCCTTTAAGGCATAAGTTATGAAATTATGGGCACAAGGGCTGATTATAAAGACATGTCGGAGAAGGAAAAATCTAAATGGACCCTTAAGAAACTTGAAAAATACATAACTAAGGATAAGTACCCCAAGACAAGGTAAGTACAATGAACTTTCGAGCGCGAAAGTGCTTAAGAGGGTGAGAATTTGTAAGATCCCAGGTAAGGTTAAGACACTCGAGTATGTCGAAACAAGGATGTGGACAAGACAGTCAAGGGCAAAATGTCGAACAAGTACAGGGCGCAAGGCTTAAAGGCATAAGTTAAGAAGTAAAGGGCACAAGGGCTGATTATAAAGACATGTCGGAGAAAGGAAAACCTATAAATGTCCTTAAGAAACTTGGAAGGACCCAAAACTAAGGATAAGTACCCCAAGACAAGGTTTAACGGACTTTCGGGGACGAAAGTTTTTAAGAAGGTGAGAATTTGTAAGACATCAGGTAAGGTTAAGACACTTGAGTATGTCGAAACTCGAATATTGGCAAGATAGTCAAGGGGCAAATGTCGGAACAAGTACATGGCTATATGGCATAAGTTAAGAACTAAAGAGCACAAGGCTGATTATAAAGAAATGTCGGAGAAGGATAAAGCTATAAATGGATCCTTAAGAAACATGAAAAGACATAACTAAGGATAAGTACCCCAAGACAAGGTAATAACAATGAACTTTCGAGGACGAAAGTTCTTAAGAGGGTGAGAATTTTTAAGATCCCAAGTAAGGTTAAGACATTCGAGTATGTCGAAACAAGGATGTTGACAAGACTGTCAAGGGCCTAATGTCGGAACAAGTACATGACTTTAAGGCATAAGTTAAGAACTAAAGGGCACAAGGGCTGATTATAAGGACATGTCGGAGAAGGGAAAACCTTAAATGGACCCTTAAGAAACTTGAAAGGACAAAACTAAGGATAAGTACCTGAAGACAAGATAAGAACAATGAAATTTCAAGGACGAAAGTTCTTAAAAGGGTGAGAATTTGTAAGACCCCAAGTAAGGTTGAAACATTCGAGTATGTCGAAACAAGGATGTTGACAAGACAGTCAAGGGCCAAATGTCGGAACAAGTACATGGACTTAAGGCATAAGTTAAGAACTAAAGGGCTCAAGGGCTGATTATAAAGAGATTTTGGAGAAGG